TATTATCTGAGATGGGTTGGAGCGGAGTAATACAGTTGAGACTATTATCTGAGATGGGTTGGAGTGGAGTAATACAGTTGAGACTATTATCTGAGATGGGTTGGAGCGGAGTAATACAGTTGAGACTATTATCTAAGATGGGTTGGAGCGGAGTAATACAGTTGAGACTATTATCTGAGATGGGTTAGAGCGGAGTAATACAGTTGCCTATGTCTGTCAAATATAAGTTCATTCACAATGAGACAGTATTAAAATTATAGTTTCCGGATGAGTCGTAAATAAACAAAACTTCTGTGACAATAACAAAAACTATTGAAAATGTGATTCAATAATTTCACACAATAACAAATACTATGTGCACATATTCAAATTAAGCTGTTTGCTTATGCTACAAAATCACATTTTCACATATTTTTGATATGTCGTGTGCATTTGATACGACTAAATAATAAAAAAAAATGTTATCAGGAAAATATTTGGGGGTGGGAGTGGCAATGATATATTCGGGCCCCGAATTTAATTATTGGGGGGCACGTGCCCCCCGTTACGACGTCTATGGTTTGTAACCGTGAGCATTTTGAATTCGAATTAAAATCCGGTATAGCAACTTTGAAGAATATGACTTTCGATAATGACGCAACTGTTTCGTTTCAGTACAGAATTTAAAACTGATTGAAGTTAATAATTATACACGGAAAAGGTTAAACGATTATTTAAAATAGAATATGTCTTATACACATTCTGCTCCACTAGGTAACATTGTAAGTGTTATCATTTTTGGTCAGGCAACATTGATTCCCACGTGGCAAGATTTAACTCCACATTTCGTGTTCGATAGACATAAGAAAAGCACATTTAATGAGCTGTGACACACGTCAAACCCTAGCCGAGACACACACACCAAATCCTCACCGATATAACTATTCCGCGAGGACCACAGTACTCTCAAACCAGGATGTTATCTAACAAGTTGCAGAGAGCGACATGAAAAAGCTTTTCTTCTGTCTCGGGACATGATGTTGAACATTAAAAACTTGAATCACACAAAAGGTAACTTGTTTTTCCCGATATCTGAATGTAGAGAATGCGCCTTTAAAGCAAAAAAAAAATACTCTTATGAAATATCCCAAGATCTTGTGAAAGTTTACTGATCAGTCATGTGCTCAGGTGTCTATAAACGAATAATATTAAACATTAAGCTGTGACCCGCAAAAGATTTGCATTAGTGAAGTGGCACATCTAATCAGTTGTCTCTTCATGAGTAGTGGCACGTCACATCAGTTGTCTCTTCATGAGTAGTGGCACGTCACATCAGTTGTC